ACCACTACCACCACCAGCACCACCACCACGCCCTCCCTTGAGGCCACGACAGTCCCGACATTGTCCCTGCTGCGTGGACACCGCAGCTGCGGTCTCAGCGGCAGGGGCAGCCGTAGCGACCGTGGCTGAAACGTCAGCGTACGTGCACTGGGAGGGAGCACAGCATTGAAAGATAGGGACTGCCGCAACACCGCTCGACTGAGCGATGGTGCGCTGGCAAGTCTCTATCTCAGACAGGGCAGTGATAAAGGCGGTCAGGGTGAGGTCACAAGCGTGCTGGTTAAGGAAGTGGTCGCGGGCAGTGGCTAAGCGGTCTGGCAGGCGCATGGCAATAAGGTACAGGTTAACGCAGAACGCGGCAGTGCTAACGGCGCGGTAGCTAGTCTCTAGTGCATGGAGGTGAGTGGCGAGGTTAGCAACAGTGGGGAAAGCAGAAAGATCGGGGAATAGCATGGGGAGGTTCAGGCGGCCAGCAGAGAAGGCCTGGTGTTGACTTGTGAGGTGATGGCGAAGATCGACAAGCCAGGAGGTAAAGTCGATCGCGTGCCCCTCCGCGTCCAGGCGAAGTACGGCGTCCACCATCGTGTAGCCTCAGCGGCACAGCTCCACGGTGGCACAGTGACACGGCGGCACAGCGGCTCAGCAGCACAGCGATACGACGACACAGCGGCACAGGTACTCAGCGGCATGGCGGCACAGCAGCGTGGCGGCAGGACTCTCCGGCGGGAAGTTTGGGTGGAAGGCCGAGCAGGGCATACAGGGCCCGGGTCACGCAGCAGGCAGGCGAGCGCGATTTGCCGGCGGGACTCGGAAGGGGTAGCAGGGCGCCAAGGGATGGCGAAGTGCTAGGGCCAGGAGGGGTGCTAGTGCCAGCGGGCGCTCGAAGGGCTCGCGGGGAGGCTAGGTCCGGCGGGGCGCTAATGGCCAGCGAGGCACAAAGGGCCGACGCGCACGCGAGGGGCCGGCGGGGTACGCGGGGGCCGGCAGGGTGCGTGAAGGGTCAGCGAGCACGCAAGGGGCCGGTGGGTGCGAAGGGCCGACGAGGCGCGCGAGGGGCCGGCGGGCACGCGAGGGGCTGGCGCGCACGCGAGGGGCCGGCAGGGTGCGCGAGGGGGCGGCGGGGTACGCGAGGGGCTGGCGGGGTACGCGAGGGTTGGGGGGGGGGGGGGGGGGGGGGGGGTGGAGGGGACAGGGTGCGCGAGGGGCCGGCGAGCACGCAAAGGGCCGGCGAGGCACTAACGGCCGGCAGGACGCTAAGGGGCGGCAAGGCGCGCTAGGGGCCGGCAGGGTACGCGAGGGGCCGGCGCGGCGCTAAGGGCCGGCGGGGCGCTAAGGGCCGGCGGGCACGCAAGGGGCCGGCGGGGCGCTAGGGGACCAGCGGTGCGCTAGGGGCTGGTGGGGCGCTCTAAGGATAGGGTACGACGGGGCGGTAGGCTAGGGCGAGGGCGGAAGCGGGTGGGCAGACCGAACCTACTATGATACCATGTCAAAATAGGAGAAAAGTGTTGAAGTGAGAAAAGTTGACTAGAACAGGACATACAGAGGTATATAGCCTAATGGGTTGTACTCCCTAAGGCACAACCCTAAATAGTCTACTGTAACATACAATATATATGTTTGTATGTTTGACACACCCCCTAGACTGGATAGGGGCAGTGCCTGGTGAGAGAGAGAAACAACTCAGCGTGGCACTACTAGTCCAGCCACTAAGAAGAGGCCACAAGGCCAGTCAAGGTAATATAAATAAAGGTCTGTACACTATCAAGGTCCTAGCAAGTGAGAGGCTACAGGAACGAGACCTAGCTGTACACAGTGCCGCTGATGATCTTTAGGCGCAAGCGCCTTAGTAAAGATATCAGCTGTGTTGGCACCTGAGGCCAAGTGTACTACACGAGCCTGGCGACGCTGCTGCAGCTCGCGCAGGAGGAAGTACCGCAGCTGGATGTGCTTTGCTCTGCCCTCAAGTCGTGGCTCCTGACACAGGAGGATCCTGGCCTTGTTGTAAGCGTATAAAACCAGGGCACAGCTAGGCCGCTCACCTAAGTCGGTGAGCAAGAAGGTCAGTGAGCGGAGCTCCTGTGCCGCCATGGCACCTACGTAGATCTCAGCCTCACAGCTAGACTGGGCAACAGATGAGGAACATGTGGACCTCCACGAGATGGCAGCTACACCAAGGCTAAAGGAGTAGCCGTGTGAGGACCTGAGAGTCTCGGCGTCTTCTGCCCAAGAAGCGTGTGTTTGCCCGGTAAGGACCACTGGTCTTCGCCCTCCTAGCACTAGCCCCATGCCTGATGTACTTGCTAGATAACGCAAAACCCTCTTAGTTGCCGACTAGTGATGTGATCGGTGTCTGCCTGGGGCCACAAAGTGAGCCAGGACGCCGAGAGGTTATGCGAGATCTGGACGAGTGCAAGTCATCAGCTACGTGACGCAATCCACCAGCTCTGCGTAGGGACCACTAGGCTCTATAGCCTCCTCAAGGACTCGGGCAGAGAGTCTGTGGTCTACTGATAGAGGGGTGGGCTGTGCGGAAGAGAACTGAAGGCCGAACCTCTAAAGGACCTGGCGCACCAAGTGTGACTGTGAGAGAGTGATGGTGCGCGCTGCTCTGTCCCTGGAGATCTGCAAGCCAAGGTAGCAGCGCAGCTCTCCTAGATCAGTGCAGGTGTGTCTCCTCAGCAGCTCGGCCTTCACGGCGACCAGTGCGTCTCTGTCTGCAGTAGCAAATATCAGATCGTTTACGTAGACAAGGATGTAGAACGGAGTCTGGCCAGAACGGACAACGAGCGAGGGGTCTGCAAACGAAGGGAAGAACTGCAAGTCAGCAAGTGTAGCACGCAGTGTGTCGTGCCACTCACGGAATGCCTGTTGCAAGCCGTAGACGGGGCGCCGGAGGAGCCAATCGATACCAGGGGGAAAGGTACCGGAGAAGCCTTGGGGGTGGCGCAGGTAGACCTGCTCGTGTAGACTGCCCTGGAGGATAGCTGTGGAGAAGTCGAGGGAGTGGAGCTCGTAGTCACGCTATGCTGCTACGTGTAGCAGCACCCAAAAAGTGGTCATCTTCGGGGTCGGGGCGAAGGTCCGAAAGAAGTCCACCCCCTCACGCTGACTAAAGCCTCGAGTGACGTAGCGCGCCTTGAAGATAGGCGGCTCTCCTGGAGGGCACTTCACCTTGAAGAGCCACCGGCCATAGACTACGTTCACCCCAGATGGGGGAACTGCGTCGACGAAGGTACTGGTGGATCTCCAATATGCCATCTCCTGCTTCATGGCAGCTATCCACTGAGAGGCCCAGGGTCCCGAGGTGGCCTCAGCGTAGGTGCGAGGAGTCAGGATGTCGAGGGCGTCTGGGTCACCCTCAGGGACTAGTAGCATGGAACAAAGATGGGGAGCGGCCTCAGACGGGAAACTCAGCTCGGACTACCTGTCCTCTAGAACGTCACTGCCAAGAGCAGCCACACCCCCGACGGCCTGAGGGCAGGCAGGGTGAGAGACCAGAGTGGTGGCGTAGTCCAGGCGGCGGGTAGCAGCGAAGGCAGTGACAGCAGCAACAAGAGCCGACAGACTCGAGACAGGAATGGATGGTTCGGTAACAAGAGAGGCAAGGACACAAGGAACAAGGGGACGCACAGCACGGAGGAAGTCCAAGAACAGAGGCGCGGCCACAGCAAGCGACGACGGAGGAGGAGACGGGAGGAGAGGAGGAGCATGAGACGCGTGAGAGCGAAGCAACATAGGGTGAGAACGCGGAACAGGGGAGGTAGGACGAGCACGAGACGGACGACGAGACCAGACGTGAGACGGAGGAGTCAGGTCAGGAGAGAGGGAGGAGACACAAGAGGAGAACAGAGAGGGAAACGAGCCAAAGAGGAGTCCAGGGGAGGCAGCAATGGGCGGTCAGGGGAAGAGAGACCGAGGAGGCGAAGAGCGGACACCGGCGGCGACAGCTGCGACTGTTGCCCAAATCCAACACCAGAACCTCCAGCGAGAGCACGGCTCCCTCAAAGAAGCCCCACGCCAGCACCCCCTGAGCCCGCTCCAGAACCAGCTCTAGCCCGCTCCCCAGCACCCCTAGAACGAACGAACCCCAGCGGCGGTGACGATGGTGGCTGCGGCTGCGGCGGCAGCGGCGGAGGCGACTGCGGCGGGGACAGCAGTGGCAGTCACAGTGGTGGTGATAGGGCAGGGACAGGTGGGGGAAGAGACTCCGCCGAGCCGCAAGAATCAGCGGACTCCTCAACAGGGACAACCGACGGGAGGGGGGTGACGTGAGACACACCAGACGGGGCAGGGCGGGGAGGGGGGTGGACAGGGTCGACCGGGTGAGGGGGGCACCAGAAACTGGGGGGGAGTGACCGGGGGACCACAGTGGGGAGAGCGGTGGTAGAAGGAGACGGACTCGTCAAAAGTGACGTCACAAGAGTGAAAGAACCGGTGAGAAGGCGGGTGGTAGACGTGCCAGTCCGACGAGTCGAGGGGGAATCCTAGGAAGACACAGGGGACAGTGCGGGCAGTGAGCTTGTCCGTGCCAGAGGCACGAACGTGAGCAAGGTAGCCCCAGATGTGGAACGCAGACGCGTCACCAGGAGACCCGGTCCAGAGGAGGGTCGGCGAAACCTGCGACCGCTGAGGGTGCGACCAGAGGTTAAGCTGGTGAGCGGCGTAGAGAATGGCGTACAGCCACATCAAAATGGGGTGCACCGGCATGGATCGTGGAGGTACGAGCAACCTCCATGACCAAACCGATGCGTCGCTCAGTGACCCCATTCTGCTGCAGGGAGTCTGGCATCATTTTGTTTGGAATGGAAGCATCATTAGACGGTATGTGTGGCGCTTTGACTAGAAAGATGGGTCGAACTATACATCAAGGTTGAAGAGAATGGAAAAACAACCTAATGCGGAAGACTTTCCTTGCTCTACTTGCATCAAAAGCCGCTATTTTTACCATAACTTTTCAGGCGCACAATCAGTGTCTACTATGCGAATGACCAATCAGGTCGAAAACGCTAAGGGAATCACTCCCACCCATGAAGCTGAAAATGTCGTGCACACTACCAGGCCTCGACATCATGGGCCTGCTATCATGCCTGCCATTGTGCCCACTGAACGAAATACAACTGAGACTTCCCTCAGCTGCAGACTCTACAGTCCCATCAAGGAATTCCCCCGCAACGCCATCGCCCCACATGCACGAAGCGGCTCGCTTCGATTGAAACGACTCTCTGTGAGACCCTTGGTCATCCAGACAACCAAACTCCCCCCAGGAACCCCCGAGGCTAGCACTTCCTGCTTCCAGCCAAGGGGCCTCTTCAAGAAGAAGATCCTGGAACAAGGCATCGGCGCTCGCAAGACCAGGCGGAAAAACCAGAAGGTCACTGGCAGCAGCAAATTCAGGAGCGCTGCACGGCTCAGGGATGCAAAAGTCAGCACCGCACAGCAGCTCCAAATCTACAGGCACTGCCTCAAAAAAACCCTTGCTGGTGGGGGAACAGCCTGCAGGGGACGCTGCCTCTTCGGTGGGCGTCAGACGGACCCTCTTAGCGCACGGCCAGCCTGCATCCAGAGGGCCGGTTTCATCCGGATGGCCATTTTCCTCCAAAAATTGGCCGAATTCGCCACCTTCGGCCGTTAGCGTTTCGCAGGAGGAGCGGAAAAGAAGAGATGAAACCGCTGGAGCACCTGTGGGAGCAGTGGACTCCCCACGGCTCTGCGGGAGAGGGATTGTACCAGACGTGGCAGCAGCAGGAGCAGCAGCAAGAGAAGGCGCAGGAAGAGAAGCAAGAGCACCAGCAGGAGCAGCAGTAGGAGCAGCAGCAAGAACAGCAGCAGGAACCGCATTTGATTGTGAAGAGTTACACGTGCCGGGAATAGCATGAGAAGCAGAGGAAGCAGCGCGTCCATTTGAGCCGGATCCAGCCAGCACGAAGCAAAGCGCCGGATTCAGCCAGCCGGATTCAGCCAGCGATTCAGTGCGGAAGCCATCGCTGCTTAGAAGCAAAGCCAGCATGATGTCGCTGACGCTGCTGACGTTGCAGAGGTTGCTGACGTTGCAGACGTTGCTGATGCCACTGACGTTGCTGATGTTGCTGACGTTGCTGGTACTGCCCATGGCGCCAGGGGTCCACGAGCTCGAGTCCGCGGCGTTGAGGGAGAAGCCCTGGGCTGCAGCAGCACCACAGGAGCTGTTGAGGGAGCAGCCCTGGGCTGTAGCAGAACCACAGGAGCGGTTGAGGGAGCAGCCCTGGGCTGTAGAAGCACCACAGGAGCGGTTGCGAGAGCAGCCCTGGCCTGTACTACTAGTATCGCTGGAGCAGTTGAGAGGAGAGCGGTGGTTGTGAGACCGGTTGGTGTGGTTGGTTCGTGTGGTGGAAGTTGAGATGGGAAGGCGGCGGTCGTAGTCGACTGTCTTCTTGGCCGGGCAGGGGGGCTTGTTCTTGGAGCAGTAGCACTTGTAGTAGCACCTGCAGCAGCCATGAAAACCCAGCCAAAACAGCCAAAAGCAGCCAATTAGACATGCTGAATTACGCCGCTATCGTGTGTAAGCCAACTGTTGAGCAGCGCCTCAAAAGGCTTGTTCTTGGAGCAGCGGCACTTGTAGCACCCTACCGGGATCCCATATGGTAGAGTCAGCTCTACCTGCATTGATCCAGGTGTCAATGCTTACCGTATGGTGTGGCTGTTGTGCATGTTCTTCTGCCCGTACTTGAGCCACAGGTACCCGTCGGCGCGCACGATATCCTGCATGCTCTCCTCCATCGCCGACGACGCCGCTCCCCCCGGCGCTCCTCCCGGCACAGATGCGGCGGCTGGGTTCGACATTCCGATGTCCTCGGATTAAATGTTTCACTTACAACTGACCGATTTCAGCCGAGACCAAAAGTGGCCGAGACTCACCACCCAGTATATCGCAATGTTTCCCTTAAGTCAAGCACCGGGAGGCGCGTCATGGCAGTTCTCCTGAAGATCTGGAGTCCCGGCGATCCCCCGTGAAGCAGCTTCGTGTTGTGCGCACAGGTGAATCGCGGGCAGTGCGAACCGTAGTATCGACAAGACGGGACGCCGAAGGATGAAGACGGAAGCTTTTTATCTCCATCATGTCGCCGGTCAATCTAGTAGTAGTTTACACGTTGTGGTTGAGACGGGCCTCACACGGAAAGGACCGCCCTGCCAGGCTGAAAGTCGGCTGGCAGTCACGGTGAAAGACGGCTGCTAGCTCAATCGTGCGGAGATTCAGCGTGCATCACAAAAATGTGGACCTCTCCTATATTGTAGGTATAGTTGTTCGTATAGCAAGGCTACTCCGTAGCAGACGTACCTATGCCATACCTACTGTATACCTACTCCGTATTTCTGATCCTGGAATTTTGGGATGTGGTGTGGCGGACAACGCTTCAAGCCCAAATGCTACAGCCGACTGAGAGTGACGGTTGAATGGCCCACTAGTACCCACTGCCTGCCAAACCGAAGGCACTGCTGAAATGGTCACAAAAAGCAGGCCTCTCGCTAACAGGGCAATTACCCTTAATGTCGAGAAATTAAGCGTAACTTTTCAAGTGATTCCGTTTTTTTACATTGCGGTTTTTTTCCGAATCCGTCCAACTTACCGAAGCAATTTCGCGCGATTCCTTAGCCTAATGAGTAACTTTTTTTTGGAATCCGTACGGGCTATACTTGTAGCAGGGCAATCTGTAGGGGCAATATACTTAGCCACGCCCCCCCCCCCCCCCCCCCCCCCTTCCCCCCCCCCCCCCCGCCTTTGATCACTTGCTGGCCGAATTTGTAGCGGCCAATTCCTTTCGGTAACGGGTTTTTTTTTTTGGTTGCGGAGCAACCTATTGCAATCGATCGGGCTGGTTTTTTTTTCAAGTTTGTGAAATAAAAATTAAATGCTTTTTGTGATGGAAATAAAACATTTTATGTATAATAAAGTCTCATCATGAAATGCTCCGCAACCCTAAGACGATCTCGTCGCCTCTTGTTGGAATTCCGTCTGTTAGCGGGTAATCCTGGGGCGATTCCGTCCCGTTCCGGAAACCCTGGGGCTTAGCGAGAGGCCTGACAAAAAGCCTTCCCTAACCTATGGCGGTTAAAGGCGTGGAACATGGGCTCGGGTATTTAGTTGGGTTGGGTTGGATATTTTGCAAGTTGCGCAACCCACCCCGCTTGGCTTGTAAACAATGGTTACAGCTGGTTTGAGTTGGGTTGGGTTGGGTATTTTGCCAGTTCCGCAATCCGGATTGCGGTCTCGAGGCTAAGCGCAACCCGTGGTCCACGCCCTGAGAATCTGGAACTAGCCTACGAACTGTGTGGCGAACATAGAGAGGTTCGCCAGCGGCCAGCATTCCCGCGACGAAAGTAACATTGATGTTACATGGCGAATCCATCGCTATTCGTTCGTCCGGTTACAGTGGTTAGGAGTTCAGGCAGGGCCTGCGACATCAATGCCTCGTGCGCCGCCCCCACCAATTTTTCTCTGTGCCCCACGCAGAACGGATGAGTCAGCAGCACAGATCTAGAAACTACTTGCGGTTGGTTCTGATTAAGCAGAATCCGAAAGTCGGCTGCGCGCGTATTGGCTGTCACAGAATTGAAAAATCTGTGGCTTCTGTGATGCCACGATGGATCGGGCCGTCAAATTCCTCTTGTAAAGAAGGGACAACAACGCCAACACTCAAATCATGACAGGCGCGTGTTCATCTGTGCTCAAGCCAATCACATCGCTTCTGGGTAGCCCAACAATCTATATAATGTACCGGAGAGGGAACCTGGATGTACTTTGGGAGGCATCAACACAGAGGTATTTTCGGGCACCGAAAAGAAACCCTGTGTTTGGCTTGAGTACAGGTGAACACAGCGCCTGGCATAATTGGAGTGTTTCTGGTCATTCCCAACAAAAACAAGGTTCGACTCCAAACCGTCAACTGATTCGACTAATGGTAGATTCGGAAACACAAAATAACAACGTAAAAAGATAATTAAAAATACCACCACTCGTAAACTACAGCACAAGTCGACAATGAGTACGTGGCAGAACTCCACATGACAGTGTCAGCGCATTCCGACAACTTAATCCTTGTTGGCGTAATCCTTGTTGGCGTTTCTGACATATTTACGATCGCAACTGGTCGTCGACAGGCCCTTAGATTGCACGAGAAAATTCCTGATTCAGGAAAAAAACCGAGTTGTTGCTGGTACCAGTCCTGATTGTCCAGGATTTTTCGAAAGGCATTTCCTGTTTTTTCAGCCTCTTTTGGGGGGTCAACTCTGATTGCTAAGCAATGTTTTCTTATCGCGTCGTGAAATTTCAGCTTTGCAACGAAACTGTACCTGTTTCCGTCAATGCGTGTCCTGGGGGCCTGTAGAGATTTCCGAGGTTCTGGCCCGCCCTCTAGGCTCTGTGAGGGCACTTATTGGCCCTTCACCAAATTCGTGGCTCGACGCGTGGGGGCAGTGTGAGGGAGGGCACTTGGCCCTTAGCCAAATTTTGGGCCCCATGTGTGCCTTAGAGCTTTGTATGGGCGAAATTTCCCTTGGCCCCTACAATCTCGCCCACCTGACCCGATTCACCCTGCAAGCATGAATTCGCTACTAAATCATGCTCTAAGAACCCCCAAGAAGTCAGAAAATATGCCATAAGTAACTCTGTCGGTACTGGAAAAAAAAACAAAATGAGTCCTGATTCACGAGGAATATTTTTGGGACCAACCCTGAAAAATCAGAGAAAAACTCAGGGGGAATCCTGAGCGATAAGGGCTCCTAAAAACCAATATAGGGGCCTGGTCGTCGACCACTCAAGAGCGCATTAACATGGTGGCGGTGGATTTCTACTTGTGGCGACGAAAAAATTGTTAGAATACAGGAATCAGTAGCAACAAGAGAGAACAAGGGAAACATAAGGTTGGAATTTTACCCTCTAAGAACATACACCTATCTAGTCTATAACTTCTATATACAAACATATGTATATGTTGACACAGCCCCTAGGCTATATAAGAGGTAGTGCTGAGCAAGAAACACACAGCTCAGGGTGGCACTACTAGTCCAACCACTTAGGCAAGGGTCTGAATACCCGTCAGCAAGAGTACAAACAAGACAAGAGCAAACCAAGGCGGCACTACTAGTCCGGCCATTGGAAGAGAAGCCACAAGGCCTGTCTGGAAGGTATAAATATAGAGTACACAATCAAGGTCCTAGCAAGTGAGAGTCTACATGAACTAGACCAAGCTGCAAGCAGTGTCACTGATGATCTTTAGGCGCAAGCACCTTAGTAAAGATATCAGCTGTGTTGGCACCGGAGGTTAAGTGTAGTACGTGGGCCTGGCGATGCTGCTGTAGCTCGCGCAGGAGGAAGTATCGCAGCTGGATGTGCTTCACTCTGCCCTCAAGTCGTGGGTCTTGGAACAAGAGGATCATGGCCCTGCTGTCAGCGTACAGAACCAGGGCAGATCTAGGCCGCTCACCTAAGTCGATGAGCAAGAAGGTAAGCCAGCAGAACTCCTAAGCCGCCATGGCACCGGCGTAGATCTCAGCCTTACAGCTAGACTGGGAAACAGACAAGGAGCGAGTGGACCTCCACGAGATGGCACCCGAACCAAAGCTAAAGCAGTAGCCCTCAGAGGACCTGGGTGTCTCAGCGTCATCTCCCCAAGAAGCGTCAGTGTGCCTAGAAAGGACCACTGGTCTGCGTCCTCCCTACACTAGCCCCATGCCCGATGTACTCCCTGGATAACGCAAAACCCTCTTATCTGCGGACCGGTGCTGTCGTCGGTGTCTGCCTGTGGCCACAAAGCGAGCCATGATGCTGAGAGGGTTTGCGATATCTGGACGAGTGCAAGTCATCAGGTACATGAGGCAACCCACCAGCCCCGTATAAGGACCACTGGGCTCTACTGAAGACCGAACCTCTGAAGGACCTGGTGCACCAAGTGTGACTGTGAAAGAGTAATGGTGCCTGTTGCTCTGTCCCTGGAGATTTGCAGGCCAAGGTAGCGGTGCAGCTCTCCTAGGTCAATGCAGGTGTCTCTCCTCAGCAGCTTGGCCTTTACGAAGGCCAGGGCGTCTGTGTTTGCAGTAGCGAAAACCAGGTCGTCTACATAGACAAGGATGCAGAACGGAGTCTGACCAGCACGAACGAAGAGCGAACACTCTGCAGAGGACTGAAAGAACTGCAGGTCAGCTAGCGTAGTACGCAGGGTGTCGTGCCACTTACGGGGTGCCTGTCGTAGGCCGTAGACCGGGCGCCGGAGGAACCACTGGGTCCCATAAGGGAAGGTACCGGTGAAGCCCTGTGGACGGCACATGTAGACCTACTCGTATAGGCTGCCCTGAAGAAAAGCAGTAGAGAAGTCGAGGGAGTGGAGCTCGTAGTCACGCAGTGCTGCCACGTGTAGCAGCGCCCGAAGAGTAGTCATCTCTGGGGTCGGGGCGAAGGTCTGAAACTAGTCCAGCCCCTTTTGCTGATTGAAGCCTCTATCCACGTAGCGCGCCTTGAACATAGGCAGCTCTCTAGGTGGGCGCTTCACATTGAAGTGTCACCGGCCATCGACTACGTTCACCACAGGTGGGGGAACTGCATCGACGTAGGTGAAAATGGGGTGCACTGGCATGAATCATGGAGGTACGAGCCACCTCTATAACCAAACCGATGCGTCACTTAGTGACCCCATTCTGTTGCGGGGTGTCCGGTAGGGTGTACGATTGGGAGATGCCCTCCGCACGACGGAACTGTCCAAGTCGACTTGAGGCGAACTCGCCGCCACGGTCGGAGAGGAGACACAGTACACGGAGACCGCGGTGGAGGCGCGCATGTACGACCCACGGGATAAAAACGTTAGGCAGGTCGGCCTTCCACTCCAAGGGAAACACCATGGTGTAGCGGG